CCCCCCTCCCCTCTAGAACCCTCAGTTTGTTTTTCAGAGTCCATCGTCTCTCATGGTTCGTCTCCCCCTCCGATTTCCCCCGCTCCATTCTTTCCCTCCTGCTATCTTCTTCTTTTTTTAGCTTTAACTCCTGGAATTTTAACAAAGCCTCCATTGTGCACAGACAACTGCTTCACAATGTAATAGTGGTTAACAACGGCAAAAAGGGGACCTGGTAACAAGTGTAAGTTCAACATAGAGAATTAAAAGATTATAAAAAAGATGAATGTAAAAGAATGGCCAAAGAAAGTATGGTCTCATTTATGGAACCAGAGATGTCATTTCTAGATGAGTGATTTCAAACTGGATTCCGAAAGCTGAACTGCAGAAATGTGTTTATACTATAAAGTCTCATGTTAAAATTAAACAAGTTTGTTTTCTTAAAAATTACAAGACTGCTTAGAGCCTTTTAACACCTGAATAGTATCCTGTAAAATCTCCAAGATGTAATATAGTTTATTTCCCATGAAATACTTGGGTCACAAAACTCTTTTCTTTGAAAGGGGACAGGTGGAGAATGAGCAAGGAATGTGCCTATTACTATCACCCACAATTAGTATTCCATGGAAAAAGCTTGGGAAACAATTCCTAGATCATACATAGCCTAGATCATATGTATATGGTTGTGAATTTTGTTTGGCTATCCCAATTTTCTTGTCTAAAACGGTCTCCTGTAGGCTGTTGCATAGAAGGTAAGTAAAAAGAGTTAATGACAAGCTATCTTCTAGCTTTAGTATATCAAATTAATTTTGGGAACAAGCAGGAAATATTTATAATGAATAAAAATGATTATAAATTATAAAATTTTTAATGGCTTTAAGAAGATTCTGTATAGATGCTTTTAATACCTTGCTACATTTGGTATGCTGGAAATAAGCATTTTAAGCCCTTTATGTATCACAACATAGGTATTTTTGGCTTAAAAACACTTCAACTTTCCATTATAAAGTTTTACTTCTATATTTTTAATTTATTCTAGAAAGAAGTAAATGGAAGTTATGTATTATTTTGATTCCTTCTTAGTAATAAGCTATTATCAGTAACTAAACTTATGTTTCAAAGAAACACCTGAGAATATTTCAATCTAATTTTTAGACAGAATAAATCAAAACCATTACTTTCAGGGTAACAGAGAAAAAGGTACAAACCTGGGTGGCCTTTTCCAATTGTAATTTAAGATCGGTCAGTTCCATATTTGTATCATGTAGCTGTGCTTTCAGCTTTTCATTTTCAGCTAGAATCTGTTCATAAAGCTATAAAAATTAGGGTAGAACAACAAATTACTTTTCTGCTCTCTTAATATTTTAAGATTTCCCACTGATTACCTTGCAATATTAAAACAGAAAGATTAATGTAACATATGAGCCATTAAACAATACATTAAAAATATTTTAATGCTTTATGGTTGCAAGGCAAAAATTTTTGGTTATGCAGGTATCTGTCCCATGTAAACTCTTTAACACATTAGTTCCAGTATTTAAAATTTAAGAATTTACTGAAAAATCTAACTTTTCTATTTCCATTAACAAATCTTCAGTTATATGATAAAGAGGAACCATACAGAATAACTACAGCTAGAGCTGAGGAGCCACTGTGATCTTCATCTGGGGTGTGTGAGCTTTTCTGCCTATCATTCTCCCTTGAATTCCTGGCACTGACATGGAGCATCAGTTGTATTTATCATTATAACTGTACTGCTTTTACTAAAATTTGAAGGAAAGTGAACTATTTCTTGAATACTTTCATAACATTTGAATCTACTACTTCTTTCTCCCCCATCTCTCCTACTACGAGTATAGATGCTTAAAATCATCTCTTATCTAGACTATTCTAGTATTAGAATTGTTTTCCTGACCTCCAATTTGTCCTATACATAGCAGCAAGAGTTAACTTCTTCTAAAATGACAATCTCAATTTCATATGCCAACCACTCCATTAGCCCGGACATCAGAAACCCCGAATAGCTTCCCAGTGTTCTCAGTACAAAGATACCCTTAAGATAGCCTGTGAAGCACTGCACAGTCTGGCCCTGGCCTCTACATCTAAGTGTAACCTCACATGACCATCCCTTCTGCCCTACTAGCTATACTGAAGATTTAATCACTTCAATGCATCCCATGCCTTTCTGCCACCACGTCTACGTCTTTATATCTCATTCCATCCAGAAAACTTTTTTCTCCCACTTTGCCAGTTAACTAATCGTCCTTCTATGATTTGCCTCTGAAGCTTCACTTCTTTAGGAAATCTATCTTTAGGCCCTGTCACTTTCCTTTGTTATACACTCTTATGAAATGCATTCTTTACTTCAGATAATTGTTTCAAGTTTTAAATTATACATTAATATGACTGTATGATCATGTCGGTCTCTGCTACTACATGGAAGATGTCCACAAGAACAAGGACAGTTATCTCCAACTCTACTGCCTATGAGTAGAAGCTCACTACTTAGGACAGTTCAGTGTTCAGTTCTTTACCGAATGAATGACAATCTTATACATAATGTAAACTGACCCCCCACCTTCCTTCTTTTGCTGACCTGGCTTGTAAGAAAATTCAAATAGCTGCCAACTACCTGGGGAAACATGTACAAATATCACAAGCCTTCTTTTTCCCCAACAAACTTCATCAGGTTTATTCTAAGCTCATAATATTAAGAATTACGAGAGTCATAATCCTAGACTGTTGAGTTTCCAGGACTTACTTCTTAAATACTTCCATCCTTAAGACATAATAGCACTTACACTATCACAAGTTTTTTAGTTACCTAGGAAAAGCTATATTCTCCTAGGAAAAGCTCTGTTCTCTGGCTGCCTCTTATTGACAAATAGGTAAAGTGTGTGTGCATGCTTGTGTGAGTGTACATGTACACACCACCCCCCAGCTTCGCCCCCCCCCCGCCCCCCGGCTCCCATGCCTCTTTTCAGCGCAATCACAGTATCACAGTACTGGCCTGAGACACTTAAGTGTGAAATAAAGTCTCTTCCCTTTAAAAAACAAACAGCTAGGGATGCCTGGGTGGCTTAGTCGGTTAAGTGTCTGCCTTCGGCTCGGGTCCTGATTCCAGGATCCTGGGATTGAGTCCCGCATCCGGCTCCTTGCTCGGCGGGAAGCCTGCTTCTCCCTCTCCCACTCCCTCTGCTTGTGTTCCCTCTCTCGCTGTCTCTCTGACAAATAAATTAAATCTTTAAAAAAAAACAAAAAAACCCCAAACAGCTATTTATATTCTCCCTACCATTTAGTGCCCCAGACTGAAAATTAAAGTAAGTTATTTCAAGATACTGATTTCATTCTGAGTTTCTAGGAATAATATCCAAAATAAATATATTAAGACAAAAGATTATTTTTAATGAAATGTAGTTGAATAATCCAAGTACCTTTTTAAAGTCAGTTGAGTCGTCCTTTTCTAGCCTGCTACTGTAAGATTTTCTTTCTTCTAAGTAACTGTATGATCCAGAGCGACCCAGCAAGGAATCATACCGATCACCAGCTGATGTGGAACTGGTTTCATATCTTTAAAAGATGAGTTAAAGTAAAAATCTTTATTATAGGTTTTTACAGCTCCCATTAACATGCATCCTAGTACATTTTAACTTGATATTCCAAATAGTAGGTAATATTCTCTTTCATCTATTATCATCTGTATCTGTGATAATAAATGGAAAGTTATTTATAATACTATTAATTTCTATTATTTGAGGAGAGATTCAATATATCTAAAAAGTCAGAACTGGTTTCACATCGTGATAAATTATTTCAACAATTTTAGACTGTATACTTTTTCTACATTTTAAAATCTCTGAAATCAGAACATGGCTTATAACTGATGGTATATTATAGTTTAATTGGTAGCAGTTTTCCTTTAAGTGGCATGTAATTGTTTAAAAATTAGTAACATCTGAGATTTGATAAACTCCTCTATCCAAAGTGATAGATAATAGGTCTGCCCTAAACAGAAAGAACCTATCTCATTTGTACATGAGAATTTTCTTATTATCTCATTATTAATTCAGGTTACCTTTTCCTGATAAATGCTATTGTTTCTACATTTCAATTCAAAAGAATCATCAGTACATAAAAATTTGTTCTTAGTTTTACAAGGTTTTAGTTAACTATTATGAGTGAGAGAAATGCAATGGAGATTAGACTTAAGGACACTGTGGAGGTTCTCTAAAAGGTGAATAATTTTGAGATAGATGACAATTTTTAGTGTCTTCATTGTTTTTATCTAAAGCAGGGATCAGAGAGAAGATTCAGAATACCTAATCAAATAAATTTCTGGTGGGTTTCACCAGCCCCTGCTGTTAATAATGACATAGTTAATAGTGAAGTAATTTAGGAAGCTTAGGAAAATTTAAAAAGTTATCACTGTTGTAAGGATTTAACAAAAATTTTCTTTTTTATAGTGACTTACTATGACTACTGAACTAGAAGTAAAGGCTTTGACAAAGAAAGCTGGTAAGAGTTATTAGGTCATCTAAACATCTACAGATTTTTATTACTCAAATAATTCTAACTTACAAAATCTATAAATATCTAAGCAACACAGAATAAAAATAAGAAAAAGTTAGTAAAAATGTAAAACATACCTAGATATGGAATCCGTCTAGAAAGAAAAACAGAGGCATATTATATTTTTATACTCTCATTAAAGTAACTGGATTGATGAAGTAAATTTAACATTTATACAGTTTTCACACTATTAAAGTAACTTATCTATTTACTATACATACATTTTAACTTTAATGTGAGTGTTCTTAGAAAGAAGTTCTAGAATAGAGTCATCACACATTTTTCATGCACAATAACCATATAATTACATTTGGCAATTTATGGTCATCTTTTATGAATTCCTACAAATGCCACCATACAATATTTTTATTTTTTATTTATTTATTTATATTAAAAAAATTTTTTTTTAAGATTTTATTTATTTGCGAGAGAGAATGAGAGACAGAGAGCATGAGAGGGAGGAGGGTCAGAGGGAGAAGCAGACTCCCTGCTCAGCAGGGAGCCCGATGTGGGACTCGATCCCGGGACTCCAGGATCATGACCTGAGCCGAAGGCAGTCGCTTAACCAACTGAGCCACCCAGGCACCCCAATATTTTTAATTAGAAGAAAAAAAAAGAAAACTAGGACAAAAATCTATTACTTCTACCTACTCAGGAGAAAGTAATAGGTTTATTTATATTAAGAAATGTCAAGTTTACTACGTGACATCCCAAAGCAACTATTTTTCTCATTTTTCTGTTTTTGAGACAGTAACACGAGAGGCAAACAAATGAATACCTAAGGTATTTTATGTACAATAATATACACATAATTTTGTTTAAAATTTACTTTCTAGAAATCCAGCTATAAATTCCATCAAAGTTTAGCAAATGGAGACTTAATTTTCTCAAGCAAGTGGTATACTTTATCAATGTTTCATAACTCTTCTTATCTAAATGGTGAAATGATTAATAGGGTAAAAGAATCTTAGTTGGGGACAAAGTATTTTTGTTTTTTGGTGGTCATCTTTAGCTCTTTCCCTTTCTATTGAAGCTCTTGCTCAAACTACACTTCTCTGTAAGGCAACTATTCAGAAATGGTTTAAGTTTCTGAAGTAGGTATTTGTATTTTTCCATTACATTTATCTTTGAATGCACTGTAAAATTATTGGATTCCTTTGGGATTAAGTCTAATTTGGACTAAAAATGCCTTACTAAAGTCTATTTAAATTTCCTTTGCAAAACCAATTTTAATTTTGCACTTGCTTCCTATTTTTTTGATGTAATGCTTTATTTCATTGATTTGTTCATTAGTTTTATAACAATTAACAATTCTGAAGTTAAATTTCAACTTTCAAGAGATTCAAATTCATACATTGCTAAGAGACTTTGAAAGTTCTTATCACAAGAGAAAAAAAGTAACTAAATGTGGGAATGGATGTTAACTAGACTTACTGTGGTGATAATTTTTCAATATATACAAATAATGAGTCACTATGCTGAACACCTGAAACTAATACAATATTATATGTCAATTATATCTCAAAAAAATAACACAATAAAAAAACCCAAGAGATCTATTCAAATTCAGAAAAATATCCAAGTATGAAATAAAATGTGTGCATATCAAATGAAAAGATCGCCATTCACCTCATAGTTTGTACTCTGGTTCACTAATTTAAATTTAAGAAAAAATAAAAACTCCAAGCAGTCACAGAAATCACTCAAATTCCATTTCTTTGTCTTTAAAAATCATGGTGCTAACGTACTACATGGAGCAATGGGTGTTATGCGAAAACAATGAATCGTGGATCACTACATCAAAAACTAATGATGTATTATATGGTGACTAACATAACATAATAAAATAAAAAACTAAAAACAAAAACACATAACAAATTAAAAAAATCATGTATTTTTTACATTTTTAAGATTGTAATAAAAAACACATGACATAAAAGTAACCATCTAAACTACTTTTAGGAGTATAGCTCAATAGTGTTAACTGTATTCACATTGTTATGCAACACATCTCTAGAATGTTTTCATCTTGCAAAACAAACTTTATACCCATTGAACAACTCCCCATATTCTTCTACCCCCAGCCCTTGGAAACCACAATTCTACTTTCTAAGAGTTTGAATAGTTTAGATACCTCATATAAGTGGAATCATACACTATGTCTATTTTGTGACCAGCTTATTTCATTTAGCATATGTCCTTATTTCATATAGCAATGTTCTTGCTCCCTGTGTTTTAAAATTATTTTTCCAAAGTAAAAATACACTTAATTACAGTACTATAAGCTCATCTAAAAGTACCACAGCATAAAAAGTTCCTCTATAACTCCCCTGCCTCCAATCCTCTAGATAACTGTTACCTTTTTTGTATACATACCCATGTATGAATTTGATTTCTACTGTTAATCTCCATAAAGGATGAATTTATTACAGTCCCAAAATCTTATATAAAAATACTATGTCAATAGTGATCATACCAAATCTGAGCATCATTAGCCTTTGCCAATTTCACTTTTTATATTAACTGTCATGTCTTTGGTTTATTAATGAGATTAAATGCATTTTCAAGCTTCCTGGCCATTTATATTTCTTTTGTAAAATTTATAAATTTCATGTATTCTGTCTCTACTTCCTTTTCCTTGAGTCTTTTCATAGTATAAATACCAATCTTTTAAATGTTATAAAAGACGGCTAAGACTATTCACTTTTAACTCAGCAAATGTGTCTCAACTTTAAGAAGGGTACTGTTTCTGTCATATTTTAGTTTTCTACGTTTAAATAATCAAATCTGTTAATCTTTTCTTTTTCTTGCCTTGGTGTCATACTTAAATTCTTGATTTATTACTAGTATCCTCTGCATGGTAAAAGTTTTATTATCCAATAACTTAATGAAAGCAAATCACAATAACCAAAGCAACAGAAGCACCACTTTTAGAAATAATGAATGTTATAATAATATATGATTCTAATAATATATAATTTTCTGTGATAAAATTTAATCTTAATTTCTTTTAATTGATATCCTGAAGGTAGACAGCTTGAGCTTCACATGCAATTCAGAATTTGTAGGAACTTTTTGACACTATACAATTTACTTTGAAGCAAAAAAGTATATGACCCCATGCCAGTTTTTAATGTGGTTAACTTGGATTCAGGTGTTCTATTATCAAACACACTTTTGAGGTGATGATGACATTATTTATTTCAGGAAATGCACAGAAGAATTTTGCTGCTAATACTTTTACACAAAAAAGGGCTGCTGCTACAAGTTTTTAAAAGAGTGGCATACTTAATGGCTAGAAACATTTTTCTTGTTTATTGTAGAAGACACCGTGTTAGTTAGTGTTAGTTAGAAGACTCCACTCTTCCTTTTCCTCATGGTGTACCAGTCATTTGGTTTAGGTGAGATGGTATATAGCCCACATTAGTAGCAAAATGGCTGCAATATCCTAGTGGTGGACCTTGTCTGGCCGAAGCCGATTATTAATCCCAGACACCGAAGGTAAACCTGCTTCAGGATGAAGCTGACATAGAGGGTTGCGCAATACAACTGGAGCATAATAAATTCTCTTCGTTTAATTCGGTTTTAGCTGGGTTTTCTGTTACTTGTAATTGAATGCTAGCACAAAATCAAGAGCTAAATAACCCCCTATTTAAAATGAACAAAACCTACTTAAATTGTTTGGAACTAAGAAAATGTTTCTTAGAAACAATTTCTACTCAATGTTAATGTATCTCATGTATAATTTTAACAGTAAAACTTAAACACAAGTATCAGTATGCTTCAAGGTCACAACTCTGAAGTCAGAAAATCTTTTCCCTTCTATCCCAGCCTGATGGGTGAGGTCTATGTGATAAGGCAGTGAGAAGTGCCAACTGGGGATGGTTTACTAACCCATTTCCTTTCGTTTACCTATTATTTTTCCCTTGAAAGATGGGAATTCATAGGGTAACACTGGGAAAGGAAGACAATGGGCAGGTTTACAGAATATAATAAACACGAGACATAGGGGAACTGGGGGAGTGCAGACAATTGAGAGGCAAAAGGTCTAAAAGTGATAAAACTTTACCCTGCAAATAATTTACCCTTGCAAGTAATTAATTCTTCAGTATCTGTCTGGGAACCTAATTATAAAATAAAAGTACCTTTCTGGACAAAATAGATAACTTGGCCCTAAAAGTAACCTCCACAGTCACATAGCACAGGTAACCAACTTCTGGTCACTTCATATTATCGTAGATTCTTGCTGACTGAAAAGCATTTCAATAGCTCTCTTTAGGAACGCCATATCAAAAATAAAGATGATATGACAGAATGCCATTTCAGGTTAGATACTGCTAAGCTTAGAAGATTAGAACGAACTCGTATTATACAGCTCTACCCCTATGTGAATAGAGCTCTTTAAAGCATGTCAGCTTTCTCCACAGCCAAACAATAGGGAATAGAGGGGGAAAAAGTGGTAAGAAACTTTCAGCATTTGCTAGTTATGTAACCTTTTAAGTCATTAAAACTTGCCTTAGTTTCTTTATTACTATTGAGTAATCTTCTCCCTTTTGGAGAAGATTGTTGGTACAATCAGTTGTGATAATATGAAAGTTCTTTAGAGCACTAAATTTCTAAACAAATGTAAAGAAAGTTAAAAAGACCTACTGTCTTCTCTAGAAGGTAACTTTGCCTTCCACTACTTCTTGATATCCCTTAGATACTTTTGTTTTTTCTTTTCAGTTTTGAAGATTAATTTACATATAATAAACTATCCACTTAGAGTATACAGTTTGATAAGTCTGACAGCTGTATATATCCAGAATATCACCACTATAATCAAGATCCAGAATATTTCCATTGCCTCTGAAATATTCTTTGTGTCCCTTCTAGTCCATTTACCCCTGATCCCAGAGAGACACCAAGTCTACCCCCAGCATGCAGGTACAGTGTGCAGTAACTGTCTTGCATGAATAAATTCAAACACAAGCAAACAGTAATCCTTAAAAAATATGAATACTTCTAAACACAAAAAATGCTTTTTACCTGAGTTTCTTTCTTATTGGATCCTTCTTCTGTATCTGATTGTTGTTCTTGCTCATTTTCATCGCTCTAAAATAGATTGTCAATTTACTTTAGAAAAGTAAAAATAAATTTCAAACACTTGATACTTAAATATTTTAGGGCTTTTCTACATTTTTTAAAAAATTTATTTATCTGAGAGAGAGCGCGTGTGAGCGAGCGATGGAGGGGGTACGTGGGGTGGGGGAGGGGAGAGGCAGAGAGAATCTCAAGCAGACTCTATGGGGCTCAATCTCATGACCTTGAGATCATAACCTAAGTGGAAATCAAGAGTCGGTCGCTTAACCAACTGAGCCATCCAGGCGCCCCGGGGCTTTTCTAATTTAAAATGACCCTTGAGAAAAATCTATCAGGAAATAAATCAAAAGGAAAACTGATTTTTAAGTGGGAATTTTTCTACCCTATTTTGAGGAAACCTTATTTTGTCTGCATGACACAATCTAAGTAGCTTAATATACATGGTGGAAAAAGACCATCTACCTAAAAACATGATTTAGGAAACATATTCACAGTGGGGATGAGGAATGGAGCTTAGCAGAAGAAGGTATTACATTTTATACTGTAATGATACTGCATGTACTTTAATAGTTTAAAAGGTACTATTTAGATACTCAACTATAATGGGGCAGCAAAAATAGGAAATTCATTATATTACGTAAGAAAAGTTGGGTTCTATAAGCTTGGCAAGATTTATGCAAAAGTCCTATTATATTTAGGTAGTTTATCAACATCCGGAAATTTCTTGGGAGCTTACAGCACACTAAATAGAAATCACGTGAAATCAGTGGTGCTGTTGCTAGTTTTATTTATTAATATACATGTTAATATAAAAATATGAATTCCACATCATGAAATGATCGTTTTTAAAAACTGCAGTTTCATGGGAAAACATAGAAACTGGAAATTTAAAAAGTGGGGAAGTTCAGAGGTCATAAAAGTAGTAATAAAAAAAAAGGGGGGGGAGCCTACTAACACAAGAGATTAAAAAGCTGCTTAACTACATAACACCCTTTCTTTGACAGAGCTCTTGGTTCTTTTTGTATGTTGTCTGATATGGGTTCAAATGTGGCTAAGATGGGGAAAGAAGACCTGTGCTCTGGTGGCTAACTAGAACACAGTTCAAGGCAGGGTCAAGTTAAAAAGATGAGTACTGCCAATATGAATCCCAGGAAGAATCCTTGCAATGCAAGTTAAGGATATTCCAGAAAGTGAAGTTCTGAAAGGAAAGCTGGTCTGAATAAAACTCAGGAAAAATAAATACTATATAATAAAAACAGCTTTGACTATGAACCTCCTAATACATACAAATTATTAAAAATATAATTTTAAGTAACAAGAAAGTGTTACTATGTTAGGATGCTAACTAAGACTGTGAGGTTTTATTTTACTGTTATTAAAATGTAAATGAGCAATCAATTAAAATCAACCAGATATCATATACTTCTTGATGAACAAACATACCTTGCCAAAAGAATTTCTGAACCAGAATGGGATCAGTTCTCTACCTGATAGTTACCAATTGGTAAAATGGCAGCTACCAATTTATAGGAAATATAAAAAACCACATGAATGTGTTAAACAACACTTCTGGGGTATGATAACCCAGTTCATTCAAAAATAATTGTAAGGAAAAAAATGAGAGGGAGAAACTGATTAAAAGAGGCTTTAAAGATATAATGAATCATAACACATAGTCCCTATTGCATTCCAACCAAACCAGCAAAGTATAAAAGTACAACAAACCACTTATCGCATATATGAATCAAATGGACATTAAAACTGACTGGATATTAAACATGAAGGATTACTGTTAACTTACTTAACAGTAAATGTGATCACGGTATTGTGATCATTTGTTGTATGGTAACACATATTGTGACTACTTATTACTTAAAAAATACAATTCTAGTAATTTTTTTTTTTTTAAGATTTTTTTAATTTATTTGACAGAGAGAGAGACAGCGAGAGAGGGAACACAAGAGGGGGAGCAGGAGAGGGAGAAGCACGCCAAGCAGGGAGCCCGATGCGGGGCTCGATCCCAGGACCCTGGGATCATGACCTGAGCCGAAGGCAGACGCTTAATGACTGAGCCACCCAGGCGCCCCAATTCTAGTAATTTTTAAAAAGGAATCCTTTCCTCTTAAAAATACATACTAAAATTTTTAGATGAAATGATATTCTGTAGATTTTCTTCAAATAATATGGGAGTTGGGGAGATGGTAGGGATTTAGCTTAAACAATGGATATCTGGAGCAGGGTCATTATACTTCTCTGTTACTTTTGTACGTTTGAATCTTCTATATTAAAAATTAAAAGAAAAATGGAAAAAAAAACACCCAAGAGGCTGAAAAAACCCAAACAGATTATGTTTGTCCTTCTATAGTTCTATGTTTTATTGAAACAGCATAAATTTCATGTTAACTGTGCTATGCTATAGTTCTTCTTTCTCCTGTATATGAATAGCAATGTTAGGCAGATATATATACAAACAGGGATAAGAAAAAAAATAAAATTTTGTATGATTAAATTGTTATAATTTGACAAGCCAAAGCACTGCTTCGATCAAACATCGGTTATGTATATTATATAATCATATTCATGAAAATGGAATGTAAAGCATCTTAAGGAGTTCTAGGTAGATAGTGAAGTAGGAGGATCCTGAGTTCATCTCCTTCCATGGACACACTGAGGCAACAGCTACATATAATGTGACTTACTCTGAAAACAACCTGAAAATTAGCAGAACAGATCTTCCATTGCTAAAAAACATACAGAAGCCCCATGGAGAAAGGGTAGGAGGGGCAGAAAGGCAGTTGGGTACCAAACTTCCCACATGGCAACCCACAAATGAGAGGTATATCACAGGTACAGAACTCCTCCTCAAGGAGCAAGGGGAATCATGCCTCACATTGGGCAACCCCTACCCTGGGGACCTGCATGGGGAAGATGAATCCCCATAACATTCTGCTTTGAAAATAAGCAAGGCTTAACTCCAGGAACTTTGAAAATCAGTGGGGCTTAACTCTGGAAGAGCCAGAAGGCTATAGGAAATGGACACTCCACTTTCAAAGGGCCATTGTACTATGGCATTTGGTTCAGGACCCTGCACAGAAGCAGTAGTTTGAAAAGCAGCTGGGTTAGACATGAAGATTTACTTACTAATTTTAGGGTACGTGCTTGAGGTGCTGTAGGAGCTTTCTCTGGGAAAGGAGGTACTAGCTAGCATCATTTCCAACCCCCTTCTGCCTAGTTGGCCAGACACAGGCGCCAGTTCTGACACCCTCTATCTACCTTCCTAGCACTGCTCACCCCACCGCAGCTCTCCCTGTGGATGCTCCCTGCGCAATCCACTCACACTGGCAGGCACCCCTTCAAAGTGGCTCCTGCTTTGTAACACCTGGCGGGCAGCCTTGGTCAGAACTGGTGCCCCAGGCAATGATTACTGCCCCATCACACCTAGCAGGCAGCCCTGGTGGGGACTGGACCACTTTCAAAGCTACTCCTGTCCTGGGGAGTAGTCCCACTCACTAGCCTACCCACAGCAGCTACAGCCAGGCTTCTCAGTCAGCTGCACTGGGGGCCAGCACTGCCCATCAGTGTAGCCGCAGTAGTCGCAGCTGGTCACTGCAGCCAGTGGGGCTGAGGGCCAGCCACCCACCAGTGCCCCCAGATCATGGCCTAGTTACAAGAGGAAGGTACACAAAGCTCACACAGGGGACACCCCTGGAGTGCCTGGTTCTGTTGATAGGGTGGGGGGAAGGGTTGTGTCACAGGGCACCACAAAACCCTTTCTACACAAGGCCACTACTTTCAAGACCAGGAGACATGGCTGACCTACTTAATACAGAGAAACAAACAGAAAGAGTAGGAAAAAATGAGGAAACAGAGGACTATATTCCAAGTGAAAGAATAAGACAAAACCTCAGAAAAAGAACGAAATGGAAATAACCAATATACCTGATACAGGGTTCAAAGTCATGGTCATAAAGATGTTCACCAGACTTGAGAGAAGAATGGATGAACTAAGGGTGAACTTCAACAAAGAAAACAGAAGAACCAATCAGAGCCGAAGAATACAGAAACTGAAATGAAAGATACACTAGAGTCAACAGCAGATTAGAGAATGCAAAACAATGAATCTGCAATCTGGAAGACAGGGTTAGTGGAAAGCATCGAGGGTGAACAACAAAAAGAAAAAAAAACTAAAAAATGAGAACAGGTTAAGGGACCTCTGGGACAACATCAAGTATATTAACATTAACATTATAGGGGTCCCAGAAGGAGAAGAGAGAGAGAGGCAGGGAACTTATTTTAAGAAATAATAACTGAAAACTTCCCTAACCTGGGGAAGGGAACAGACATCCAGATCCAGGAAGCGCACAGATCCCCAAACAAGAGGAATCCAAGGAGGTCCACACCAAGATATATATTAATCAAAATGTCAAAAATTAAAGAGAATCTTAAAATCAACTAGTTATGTACAAGGGAAACCCTACAAGGCTTAGCTTATTTTTCAGCAGAAACTTTGCAGGCCAGAAGAGAGTGGTGTGACATAAGGCTGTCATGGAAAAAACCTACAATCTTCTGGAAAAAAACTACAACCAAGATTACTTAGAAAGGTTATCATTAAGAATTGAAGGAGAGAGAAAGAGTTTCCCAGATAAAAAAGTTAAAGGACTTCATCACCACTAAACCAGCCTTACAAGAAATGTTAGAGACTTCTGTAAGTGGAAAAGAGAAGGCCATAACTAGAAATAAGAAAATTATAAAAGGAAAAAATTTCACTGGCTAGTATATGAAGGTTAAAAAACAAAAGTATTTGTTAAAAAACAAAATCAATTATACATATGGTCTTAAAAGGGAAGTTTATAGCGATACAGGCTTACCTCAAGAAACAAGAAAAATCTCAAACAATCTAACCTTATACCTAAAGGAATTAGAAAAATAACAAAGGCCAAAGTTAGCAGGAAAAAGGAAATAATAAAGATCAGAGCAGAAATAAATGAAATATAGACTAAAAAGCAATAAAAAAGATCAATGAAACTAAGAGCTGGTTCTTTGAAAGAAGAAACAAAATTGACAAACCTTTAGCCAGCTTCCTCAAGAAAAAAAGAGAACTGAAATAAATAAAATAAAAAATGAAAGAAGTTACAATGGACACCACAGGAGTACAAAGAATTATAAGAGACTATAAAAAACAATGACATGCCAACAAATTAGAAAAAATGGATAAATTTCTAGAAACATATAATCTTCTAAGATTAAATCAGGGAGAAAACAAAATCTGAACAGACTGATTACTAGTAATGAAATTGAATCAGTATTCAAAAAATGCCCAGCAAAGAGTGAAGTCCAGAATCAGATGGCTTTACAAGTGAGTTCTACCAAATATTTACAGAACTAATACCTATCTTTCTCAAATCTTCCAAAAAACAGAAGAGGAAGGAACGCTTCCAAATTCATTCTATAAGGCCAGCATTACCCTGATACCAAAATCAGACAAAGACACAAAAGAAAATTATAGATCAAGATCACTGATGAACATACATGCAAAAATCCTCAATGAAATATTAACCAAATACAACAATATATTAAAAGGATTATTCACCATGATCGCATGGAACTTATCTCAGGAATGCAAAGGTACAATATCCATAAATCAATCAATATGATATAACACATTAACAAATGAACAATAAAAATAATATGACTGTCTCGATCTAGAAAAAGTATTTGACAGAATTCAATATCCTTTCAAGATAAAAATTTTCAAAATAAAATTTTAAAGGAAACATACGTCAACATAAAGAAGGCCACAGATGACGAACCCATCCATAGCTAACATACTCCACTGTGAAAAGCTGAAAGCTTTTCCTTTGAGATCAGAAACAGGACAAGGATATGCCCTCTCACCACTCAACATAGTACTGGAAGTCCCACCCACAGTAATCAGACAAGAAAAAGAAATAAAAGTAATCCAAATTAGTAAGGAATAAGTAAAACTGTCACTATTTGCAGATGACAAACCATAAGAGAGAAAACCTTGAAGATTCCACTGAAAGCTATTAGAACTAATAAATGAATTCAGTAAGTTGCAGGATACAAAATCAATACACAAAAATATATGTTGCATTTCTACACATTAATAACAAACTAGCTGAAAGAGAAATTAAAAAAAATCCCCATTTACTACTGCATCAAAAAGAATAAAATACCTAGGAATGAATATAACCAAGAAGGTGAAAGACCTATACTCTGAAATGATAAGATACTGATGAAAGAAACTGCAGATGACACAAATGAAAAGATACACAATGCTCATGGACTAGAAAAATACTGTCAAAATGTACACACTACTCAAGGCAATCTACAAATTCATACAATCTCTATCAAAAAGCAATAGTATTTTTCACAGAATTAGAATAATCCTAAAATTTATATGGGACCACAAATAACCCTGAAAAGCCAAGGCAATCTTGAGAAAGAATCTTAACAAAACCAGAGGTATCACAATCCAAGATGTCAAAGTATACTACAAAGTGATAGTAATCAAAACACTATGGTACCGTCACAAAAACAGACACACAGATCAATAGAGCAGAATAGAGAAACCAAAAATAAACCCCTGCTTATATGGTTAATCTTCGACAGAGCAAAAGAATATATAATAAGGAAAAAGTCTCTTAAAAAAATGGTGCTGGAAAACCACTCAGCTACATGAAAAAGAATGAAACTGGACCATTTTTATACCATTCACAAAAATAAACTCAAACTGGATTAAAGACCATTTAACACAGGCAGTAAATTCTTGGATATCAGCTCTAAGCAGTTTATTTTTGGATCTGTCTCCTTAGGCAAGGAAAACATCAGCAAAAATAAACAATTGGGACTTATCAAACTAGTAAGATTTTGTACAATGAAGGAAACCATCATCTGAATGAAAAGGCTAACCCACTGAATGGAAGAAGATACTTGCAAATAATATTAGCTGGTAAGGGGTTAATATTAAAAAAATATAAAAACCGCATACAACTCAACACCCGCCCCGCAAAAAAAGTCCGATTAAAAAATAGAAGAGAATCAAAAAGACATTTTTCCAAAAAGACACAGATGGCTAACAGATGTATGAAAAGGTGCTCGACAGCACTAATCATCAGGGAAATGCAAAAAAAAAAAAACACCCCACAACGAGATATTACCTTGCACCTGTCAGAATGGTTAGCATCAAAAAGATAAGAAGTAAGAAATGTTGGCGAGGATGCACTGTTGGTGGGAATGCAAATACGTGCAGCCACTATGGAAAACAGTATGGAGCTTCCTCAAAAAATTAAAAAGAAATACCATATTATCCAGTAATCCCCCTACTGGGTAATTTACCTGAAGAAAACTAAAACACTAATCCTTAAAGACAGATTTATCCCCATGTTCACTGCAGCATTATTTACAATAGCCAAGACAAGGAAGCAACTTAAGTATCCATCGACAGATTAAATAAAGAAGATGTGGAAATACATACAATGGAATATTACTCAGCCATAAAAAACAAAATCTTGCCATTCACAACAACATGGATAGACCTAGAGAGTATTATGTTAAGTGAAATAAGTCAAACAGAGAAAAACAAATACCACATGATTTTACTTTATGTGGACCTAATAAAAGTCCAAAAAATTACAAACAAACAAACAGATTCATAAATACAGAGAACAAACTGTTTCAAGAAGGGATGGGAAGACAGGTTAAAAAGATGAAGGGGATTAAGAGGTTCAAACTTCCATTTATAAAATAAGGCGATGAAAAGTACAGCATAGGGAATATAGTCAATAATACTGTATAACTGTAAAATGAGAGATGGTTACTACACTTATTGTAGTGGGCATTTCGTATGTAATTGCTGAATTACTATATTGTATACTTGAAACTAATATATAATAATAATAAAATATGTAAAGCATCTTTCTTTCGAAGAATCTCCAAGGTAAAACAGTTTAGCCACTATATAATTCTATATTTTATAT